AATAAAAGTTCTTTTATTGCTTTAATTTTTTTTCTGTAGCTCATTGCAGCCTCAATCTCCTAGACTCAAATGATCCTCCCATCTCACCTTCCTAATTAGCTGTGATTACAGGAGCACACCACTGGGCCTAGTTAATTTTTTTTTAAACATTCGTAACAAAAGGGTCCGCTAGGTTGCCTAGCCTAGTCTAAAACTCCTGAGCTCAAGCTATCCTCCCATCTCAGCCTCCCAAGTAGTTGGGACTATCGATGTGTGCCACTACATCCACCCAAGAAAAGTAATTTTAAAACAAATTGTTAATAATATTTATAAAAGTCATAAATAACATTCATCAGACATTTTTAATTGCCATTCCGTAAAAACCTTAATAATGTGGTTAACCATTATTTCCATGTGGACATTTCAGTAACAAACCTATGTGTAATATATCTTTTGTGTCAGCAGTTCAGTCAAATAGCGATTCTTTAAAACATAAGAAATACATTTTATAGAAAAACACCCATATTTTCAACCATAATAACTGTTATGTTTCTCAACTTTGTAATCTAGTTTAGGTTAGTCTTTCCCCTGTTTTCGTTTAATAACCATTTATTCAAGTATGAGTAAAACACTATATTAAGCACTTACGGATACAAACATTACTAAGACACGACTCTTCTTCAAGAAGCATAGCACCCAGACATAGCATAGAAACCTAAGCACAGTTCCATGTGATATGAAGGACTATACTCAAAGTGCGAGGGGAGCATTAGCACTTCCTTCAGCCTGAGGGTTTCAAGAAAACCACTTAACCACTTATTAATCACATAATAGATAATAATAGCACTAAAATCTGGAAGCATGATTATTTTGGAGAAATCTGCAAGCCCCCTCCCAAAAAAACTTCATCCCCTAATCTATCATGAAATGACCATCAGTCTAATTAAATCAGAATCTCTGAGGAGCTACAGCCCAGTATCAGTATTTGTAAAAGCTGCCCAGGTGATTATACCTTTATGCCATAATATCATGACCGATTTTTTTTTTTTTTTTGAGACAGAGCCTCAAGCTGTCCCCCTGGGTAGAGTGCCATGGCATCACAGCTCACAGCAACCTCCAACTCCTGGGCTCAAGTGAGTCTCCTGCCTCAGCCTCCCAAGTAGCTGGGACCACAGGCGCCCGCCACAGCACCTGGCTACTTTTTGGTTGCAGCTGGCATTGTTGTTTGGCGGGCCCAGGCTGGATTCGAACCTGCCACCTTAGGTGTATGTGGCTGGCGCCTTAGCCACTTGAGCCACAGGCACCGAGCCATCATGACTGATTTAAGTTTTGAATCTTATCAACATAAAGACAGAGTCCTGAGGCCAGATTAGTGAACAATCATTTTCTAAGGGGAATCCATGGTCTGAGATTATTTTCATTTGCAATCATTTTTTGGTATATGCTTATAATAAGAAAGATAAAATTTTACGTTTCATATCTCATCACGCTTCTGGCATAAGAAAATTAAGTGACTACCAATCCTCAAAACTGTGTACTGACTAAAATGCCTAAATTTTTAAACTTTACTCTTTAAAACCAGAGCCTATAGAGACTCTATAAACTTTGGATACATGAAAACTAAGTCCTCTAGAGTCACCTTCACCATCTATTTTAAAGAAAAACATGTGCATACATGCATTTAAAGAACAACAAAATCACATAAAAAGTACTCAAATTATTATGTGGACTACGCTCTATAGAAACAACAGGAAGGTAGAGATAAAAGTGAGTGCCGGGGTAAGGCAGATTCTCATAAAGAAAGACCTGAGGGGGACCGCCAGGCTTGAACTAAAAAGGTAGAGAGGTGGGTGTGGCTCACACCCTGTAATCCTAGCATTCTGGGAAGCTGAGGCAGGTGGATTGCTTGAGCTCACATGTTCAAGAACAGCCCTAGTAAGAGTGAGACCCTACCTCTACTAAATAGAAAAAAAAAATTAGCTGGGCATTGTGGCAGACAATAGTTCTAGCTACTTGGAAGGCTAAGGCAAGAGGATCACTTGAGCCCAGAAATTTGGGGTTGCTGTGTGCTATGATGCCACATCCAGCCCCAGCAACAGAGACTCTGTCTCAAAAAAATAAAAATAAATTAAAAATAAAAGATAGAGAAAAGCACTCTAATTGTATTGGAGGAAGCAGATGTAACAAGGAACAGCATAATGAAAGCTACAAAAATCCTTCATTATGAGAATTGAGATAGCACTAAGAAAACCCCAGAGTCTCCTCAAAGGAGAACACCACTAGACAAATGACAGATTGAGGAGTTTGAACATAATCTTGGTTAAAAACAGGGTTACAATTCAGTTCAATATACAAAATGATTTTAGAAGATTCTTCTGGTAGATTGATATCCAGGATGCACTAAAATTATGGGGGCTTGAATTGCTGAAGTAAAGAGAACATGTAAGCATTTTCCAAGCAAAGTTCCCTGAATATAACCGGCATTTTAAATTCTGAAAGTTTTTAAAAACAAATATTGTACAGCACAATATAAACCTTGGTATCACTACAAACTGAAGGCCAAATAATTTCATAAGTCAAATGATTAATAAAAAAGGTTTGTTAGCCTTTAACATATCCAAGATATTATATATCCATTTATGCTTGCTTTAGAGAAAGAGGCAATATTCAAACATTTTTTTCTCTCAAGAATTAGTCTACATCTAATGAAAATAAACAGAATAAATAAGACAATATTTTAATATTCTTTCTCCTTAAAATGAATATTAATACCAAAATGGGTGTTTTAGGGCCTTTTCTTTTTGAGAGAGTCTCACTCTGTCACCCTGGGTAGAAGGTAGGGGTGCCATCATAGCTCACTGAAACTTCAAACTTCTGGGTTCAAGCTATCCTCTTGTCTCAGCCTCCCAAGTAGCTGGGACTACAGGAACCCACAACCACTCCAAATAATTTTTCTATTTTTAGTAGAGGTGTCTTGCTCTTGCTCAGTCTGGTCTTGAACTCTTGAGCTCAAGCAATCCAGCTGCCTTGGCCTCCAAGAATGCTAGAATTACAGGCATAGGTCACCATGACTCCCCCCCACCCCCCACCCCATGCTTTTCTTTTTCTATTAAAAAACATTCTCTGGCACAAAAGATGGCTGCTGGAGGTTATGAAAAGATGATTATTTTGAGGTTTACTGACCTTGGAGTAAAGTATAGTAATAATCCTAAAAACCATGGGTGATCCACACTTTATAGCTAAAAAATTTACTTCTCCTTTTTTTTTTTTTGAGACGGAACCTCAAGCTATCCCCCTGGGTAGAGTGCCATGGCATCAGGCTCACAGCAACCTCCAACTACTGGGCTCAAGCGAGTCTCCTGCCTCAGCCTCCAAAGCAGCTGGGACTACAGGCACCCATCACAGCGCCTGGCCATTTTTTTTTTTTGGTTGCAGCCATCATTGTTGTTTGGCGGGCGTGGGCTGGATTTGAACCCGCCACCTTAGGTGTATGTGGCTGGTGCCTTAGCTTGAGCCACAGGTGCCAAGCCAAAATTTACTTCTCCTTATAATTACAAGTATCCACAATTAAAGAAACATTTATAATTTAGACAAGATCAGTAAATAATGTCACCAAAAGCACAAGTAGCTGAAAAATATTTTCCATACTAAACCAAACCTTCATGCTCCCCAGATATTTTTAATTAAAAATTTATCAATGTAAGAATTATGCTTACAGTATAAAAATAACATATGCTATGGAAATTAATACTGTACCAAGGTATATTTTATTTTATTTAAATATAAAAACAACTTGGAACGATTAAGTCCATACTAACTGAGTAAACTAGTATTATTTAAACTTGTTTTTAGAGTGTAAAACAAGAGGAAGGAAACAAAAAAGTGTAAAACAATTCTCAAGTGAGAATTGAGACAGCACTGAGAAAACCCCAGAGTCTCCTCAAAGGAGAACACCACTAGACAAATGACAGATTGAGGCCCCTTTTCCTTCATTCAAACCACGTTACTATATGTACCAAAAATATATATATTTCTTACACACTGTTCTTTCTGGTTTTTCATTATGTTATTACCCTTTTCCTCATCAGGATAATTATACTATCTTAACACTTTAACTGAAATTAATATTATGTAGGCAATGATTAGAATCTTTTGCTCATCACTTCCTAAGTGTGGAGAAAGTTTAAGAGTCTAAAATATTTAAGGGTTTATACTTGCAAGCATGTCTTTCAAACACTTTTTGATATATAAATTAGAACCAGTTAACTAAACTGATCCTAGCATACAAAAACCACAAAAGAACAAGTAGTTAACACTAAAAAGCCTCAAAAAAACACTATCACATTTGAAATAACCCCAAACTGGGGCTATGTGCCTAAATCTTACATTAAGAAAGAACCATAATATTCAAATTAATCTTTTTAATTTCATCCATCTGCCCATAAAATAACCCAATCCACAGTAATCTACTTTTTTACGATGCAGTAATCCTCTTTGTTAAACACGATTAACAAAATAATTTTTTAAATATACAAAAATCAATCACATATCTTACAAGAATTCTAGAGGTTTACAATTCTCTCAATGAAAATATAAGGGATGCAACATAATATACTCTGACAATAATGGATAATATTAAATAATATCCAGTACTATAACCAATCTACAAGAAATCCTGTTCATTATAAGAAAACTGTCAAGCAAGCCATTTTATGGATTTATATGACCTGATATAAAATGCAACAATATTTCTTTGGAAAAAAGATTAACTTTTGGAAGCAGCAGCAGAACCCAAGAATGCAAAATCCTGTAACCAAAACCTGCATCTCCCTGCACACTCCCAACAAAAACCTGTCAACAAAAAGTTTACAGGAAGGTTTGATTAAAAGGGAAAAAATGGTATAATCTCCTGGCTGAAATACAGTGAAAGAGTCGTCAAAGTCTTTTCTAAAAAACCGTTGACTCTTAATTATTTCAAATCAAAACAGAGACCATGACCAGGTGGGCTACAGATGACTTACAGAGGATGGCTACAGCCCCAGACTCGAACATGAGACATTCTTCCTTATTCCTAGTTTCCACTATGAGGCTGAAGGGTGGTGGATCCAATTTGTGATAGATCCGAAATCCTTTGCTGAACGCCATTCTCCTTTCTTCAGAGACAGCCCTGTGAAAACCAAAGCAAAGCAAAGCAAATGAAGCTGATGTTTCCTTCTGCAGCAAGGACTGCAAGGCGTCAAGATGTCCCTCCCTACCAGGTTTTAATGGGGGAGGGAGGGTTGGGGTGGGGAAAAAGGGAGCTAAGGGAGAATGGTTTATTCCAAAAGATAAGTCGTCACTTAATTTTACCAAAAAGCAAGAGGAAAAGCTACCAAGGCAAGACAAGGTTTTAGCACTGTTATGCGCATCAACGGTTTTGTTGAGTCTCCCGTTTAATTTATGTTTAGTGAAAGGAAGATTTTTAAGCGTATTTCCTTTGGAGTTGTTTATCAGCTTCCTGCTTCAAGATTTCTCACTATGTTAAAAGGGAAACGATTCGGAAACTTCCAGCCGTTTCTTTGGGGGTAAAGGAGAGAAGGTGGGAGGGAAGGTTAACTAGCCCGTTTCAAAGCTCCTTAGGGGGCGGGAGGAGGGCAAGGATTATCCTACACCACAGGCTCTCCCAGGGGCAGCAACGAAGCCGCACAGGTTACCGCCGCCCCCCGCCCGGCGCCGGACCACCGCCGGCTGGGAGAACGGCAGGTGGAACGGATAAACACGAATGGCCACCCGGGAAGTGTCACGACTCCAGGCACGCAGCCGCCTGGGGATTCTCGGGGGTCCAGAGTAGTCGACCTCCCAGAGCCTCGGAGGCACCGAGTAGCCCAACCCCCAGGCGCCAGAAGAGATGTCCCGGTGCCCAGACAGTCGGTTCCTTCCTACCGGCAGGCTGACAGCCGCTGTCACCACAACCCCGGGCCCTACCCGGCGCCCCTCGCAACCTGTGGTCTCCTCATAACCCCGCCCGCCTTCCCGCACCCCGGCCGGCAGCGCGCAGTCGCCCCTCACCGCTCTCGCTGAAGCTGCGGCGGCGGCAACTGCCTCAGGAAGCGCCCGCCCGGCTGCCAGTGGGTCTGGCCGCGGCCGCTCCCCGCCCCCCGCCGGCTTGCTCACCTCTTCCTCCGGCTCCTCCTCCTCCTTCTCTCGCAGCTACAGCCGCCACAGCCGCCGGAAGCGTCACTTCCGCTCCAGCAAGACCAACTCTTCCGCATTGCGCCGCGGCCGGGGGCGGAAGACCCGCCCCCCGCGGGGAGTGGGCGGGGCGCGAAAGGGAGGGCCCACCTGCTCCGGGCGGCCGCGCCGAGCCCGGCCTTAAGTCAGCCAGCTACAGTAGCCTTCGCCTGAGGCGACGCTAGCCTCCGGGAGCAACTGTCGCGGGTCGCTGCTGAAGGTTCCGCCGCTGGGCATGCCGGGAAAGGGAGGATCCGGCCTTCGCGTGGGCTCTTGAGAGCTCGAACGCCGGGGAGGGACTCTCGGGGACAGCTGTGGGGGCTGGGTGTTGATGTGTGCCTAGGCCAGGCGCCCGGACCACCCCCTCTGGCACTGGAGGAGGGGGCGCAGGACCGTCTGCAGGTGGCTAACCAGGTGGCGCCTGAAGAGCTGTCCATGGTGTCTCCCAGCAAACAGCGCTGAGTTCCTAGCTTCTGGATAGGCAGCAGGAAGAAAAAACAATACCTGCTTTGGACCAGTTCTGTTAGCTAGTTTTCTTCGTGTGTTTTCAGGAGTACTGGGGGAAGAGTGTGGACCTGCGTACACGGTGGAGAGCGGGAAGTCACAGACCAGGGTCTCAGGGCTAAGCCAAAACACGGCTGTGCTGAGGCCCAGGCAACTATGATAGCGGTTGTCAGCTGTGGAATTTAGTAACTAAAAGCATCTAACACGTTTATCTCATCTTCATTTTTCAACGAATCATGGTTTCTGGGTAATATCAGTGTGTCCCATAGACTTCTCTTTCTGAATCCACTTAATATACCTAAATGCGAGAATGAAGTCAAAGTCAGTAGGGCAGAAAGGAATCGAAGACTTGAGAAACCCAGCACCCTTAATTAAGAAACGGTTTCCACTTGCTTTTGCTTTTTCCTTATCCCTTCCCCTTCTTGCTTTTATTTTAAAAGCAAAAGCAGAATTTAAATTTGGACTATGTTGCACAAAATCATTTCCTCCTCCAGGCCCTCTCATGTGACTTCATTTAATATTTCTTCATCCATTTCAGAAAATCTGGATCCACCCTGGTTTCAGGACACTAACATAGCTATATAATTCATTAGAAAGTAAGCCACTTCTAAGGCCAGAGAATTGCACAGATATTTCTAATTTAGTACTGTCTTCTTTAAAACAAACAAAAACCCCCAATATTTTCCTCCTTGCCGTGGTTACCAACAGCAGCCTCCAAATTAAACTAATATTGAAATAATCAATCGACTGGTCTGTGGTTACTGGGGGTTTTGTTCTCTTTCCAAAAGAGTCCATTTCAATTGGGGGTTGCATTTGACAGAGAAAACTAAATGGGAATGGATGAAAATGGAATTTTTCTTAGTTCCCTGTCCAGTATAATGTGTCTATCGTCCTGATATGCACTGAGGGGTGGGGAGGAAGGAGCAAGTAGTGACTCCAGGAGAGATGTTGATGTTATCAAATGCATTACTTGGGAGGTACCATTTGTGAGAACTAAAATTCTCATAAATTCTCCAGTTTCAGATGGAGTTGGGACCTGAAACCAAACTTGCTTACCCTAAAACCCAAGATTTTTTCCACTTCGCCTGTGTCTGAGGCTATACCAGAAAACCCTCCTTTCTGAGACTGAGAAACATGCAGTAGGCTCTTCTAGGAACAAATGTTCTGCCTAATTCCTAGTTCCTTTTAATTTTGGACTGAGGAAGTTGAGGTCCAAGTTTCTGTGTTCTGGATTAGAGTTACTGATTCCTGAAATGAAACTTGGTGGTAGGGTAGCAGGACTCTTATTCCTACAGTTATTAGAAGGCCACAGCTTTTCCAAATTCTTTAAAAATACATCGCTTTAGTCATGAAATAAGCACATCCACAGGGTTTGAAAAACATAAAGAAGATATTACTAGTGGCTTTTAAAATGTTATTTATTTTTCTTGTCCCACTTTCCTATTTATACTTTCCTTTGGTTTGTTATAAAAATAGCTGACCAGGCCAGGCACAGTGGCTCACTCCTGTAATTGTAGCGCTCTGGGAGGTCGAGGTGGGTGGATTGCTTGAGCTCAAGAGTTCGAGACCAGCCTGAGCAAAAATGAGACCATCTCTACTAAAAATAGAAAAAAACTTAGGCAAGAGGATGACTTCAGCCCAAGAGCTGGAGCTTGCTGTGAGCTATGACACCACGGTACTCTACCCAGGGTGACAGCTTGAGACTCTGTCTCTGTGTCAAACAAAAAAAAAAAAAAAGGAAAGAAAGGGAAGGGAGCGAGGGAGGGAAAGACAGAAAAGAAAGGAAAGGAAAGGAAGAAAGGAAAAAGGAAAGGAAAAAAGAAAATAAATAGCTGGACAAATTTTTACCAAACTAGAAATGTCATTGGGATGGGATGACTAAAATATAGGTGAGTGGCATACACAGACTTCTTAGTAAGATCCTAAGGGCCTGCAGAGACAGGCCAACACTCTCTTGACCCTTAAAACTGAACAATGAAGGGCCTGGAGGAGGCTAAAAATGCCACCCCAAAAAGGTACCAGCATAAATCCCTGGAGCCTGTGAATGTTAATTTAGGTGGAGAAAAGTCTTTGCAGATGTTGACTGAGGTCAGAATTTTGAAATTATTTTTGATTACCCAGGTGGGCTCTAAATGCAAGTACAAGTGTCCTTATAATAGGGAGGCAGAGGAGAGAGATTGGAGCAATGTGGCCACTAGCTAAGGAACATCACTGGCCACTAGAAGCTAGGAGAGATGAGGAAAGATTTGAGCCTACATCCTATGGAAAGAGGCATGGCCCTGCTGATGCCTTGATTTCCAACTTCTGCCCTCAGAGTTGTGAGAGAATAAGTTTCTGTTGTTTAAATTACCCAGTCTGTGGTAAATGCATCACTTTAGTCATGAAATAAGACTGTAATTTGTTACAGTAGCCACAGCAAACTAGTACCAGGCTTATGTGATTTTCCATTAGGGGACAGACTGAGAGCAGAAAAACAGTTCTAGACAAGTGTTTCAGATAAAACGAACTGAGGGCAAACATTCTAAGTTTTAGATGCTGACTTGTGAACAAGGTATTTCTCTTATAGGCAACTCTCTGTATCATGTTGAACATGCAATTGCCATTTCTATAGGTAAAAAAATGCTCACATGGTGACAATATAAGGCCCAACCTACTAATAGGTACATAAACTGTAGCAAGGCCTTTTTTATTTAGAAATGATTAATGATTTTCCCAGTAACATAAAAAAAAACTATACCATATAGTCCCATGACTATGAATTTTGACAGGTGTTGACCATGTGAATTAGTAGCAGGGCTTACTTTTCTGTATAGTCTGGCTTTTCTTGTTAAAGATGCTAGAAATTGTGTGGTAAATCTGGGAAGTAGTAGTTTGATGATCCAGTAACCATCACCAGTTTCTTTTCAAGTCAAATAGACTGCAGTTAACTTTTTTTTTAAAATCAGGATCAGGATGTGCAGAGGTCTATTAGTCGACAGAAACGGATGGCCCCTGTTAAAGAGAAAACTATGGTCTCTTAGTAGGTAACAAACCGTGTTAGCTTTTTGCTTTATCCTTTGTAACCAGCTAAGGATAAGATTTTATAAATTAGAAAAATGGAAATCCTATAAACAGGAAATCTTGAAAACATGTAAGAGTAGAATCATTGTGAGAACAAAATCAAACAAAAATGCGCAGACTGAAAAATTACCATAAAATAGGAGATTGCCACCAGGGCAAACAGGGTACTTGTGAGAGACAAAAATGGAGTGTTTTCATTTGGAATAAGAGAATAACTCAAGAGAGCTCCTGTGAAGGGGGGATTTTTTTTTTTTTTTTGCAGTTTTTGGCCAGGGCTGGGTTTGAACCTGCCACCCCCGGCATATGGGGCCAGCGCCCTATTCCTTTGAGCCACAGGCGCTGCCCGAAGCGGGGATATCTTAATGAAACACGAGGATTCCTTTTTTTTTTTTTGAGACAGAGTCTCACTCTGTCATCTTGGGAGAGTGCCATGGCATCATCATAGTTCATAGCAACCTCAAATTCTTGGGCTCATCTCTTGCCTCAGCCTCCCAAGTGTCTGGGACTACAGGCGCCTGTCACAACACCCAACTAATTTTTCTATTTTTAGTAAGATGGGGTCTTGCTCTTGCTCAGGCTGGTCTTGAACTCGTGAGCTCAAGCAGTCCATTGGCCTTGGCCTCCTAGAGTGGCAGGATTACAGGCATGAGCCCTCCCCCCCACCAAAACACAAGGATTCTCATGCAAATCAAAGTAGTAGGCCCAGGAACAGGGCTCAGCTTTCCTGAGATTAGAGCTGTAGCATGTTCACTCTTTAAGCTGGCTCAGGGTACCAAAGCAGGTAAGCCTTTAAGGTCAAAGTGTTTTGCAAACTACTTTAAAATGGTTTTAAGGATTTATCAAAACTGTTCTCATTTGACATGTATTTTGAATTATTAAATTAACATGGGAAATAATGTCCATTTTCTAAAGATACTTTTAAATAAGAGCCTAAGAATGAGAGTGCTAGGTATTATATGAGATGACTCTATCCTGTAAATCTTTGCTAGAGTTAGAACTGACAGGGCTGAGGAAAAGCCAGTATCAATTGCTGGGGTCCAGGAGTCCAGAAGCAGCCCAGGGGTTGGTCTACATTGTACATTAACACCAATCCCATACAACAATATTTAGCCTTTCTTTGCTGGGCGGTCAGAAGCAGCTCTCAGCAGCTGTGAACTAAACTACATGCAGTTTCGGTTCCAGAGGGCAGTGTTCAAAAGGTTTTGAATAACAACAACCTATTGAAATATTAGACCTCCCAAACATTCACACATATTTCATTGTTCTCCCTACATGTAATTCTAGTGTTTGTTCTTAATCTTCATTTACTTGAAACAGACCAAATGTTCTTTGCCATAGCTAGCAAATGGCAAGACTCCTTTAGAGATAAGTTTTTTGGGGGCGACAGTCTCAAGCTGTCACCCTGGATAGAGTGCCATGGCATCATAGCTTACAGCAACCTCCAACTCGGGCTCAAGCGATCCTCTTGCCTCAGCTT